ATCCAGCAGTGGGTGGATATCAGCATATTCCACCATGTTGCCACAGAGTTGAAAGCTCATACTCTGTGGAACAAAATTGAACAAATGTACCAGAGGAAGACTACACAGAATAAAGCTTTCGTCATTAGAAAGCTTGTAAATCTAAAATATCGGGATGGAAGATCAGTTGCAGAACACTTGAATGAGTTTCAAGACATGGTGAACCAACTGATTACCATGGAAATGAAACTTGATGAAGAGTTGCAGGCGCTGTTACTTTTGAGTTCTTTACCGGATAGGTGGGAGACTCTGGTGGTCTCGTTGAGCAACTCTGCTCCTGAGGGAAAACTGACTTTGACTCAAGTCAAAGACAGTATGTTTAATGAAGAAACAAGAAGAAAAGACTCAAGGGCAAGCAGTTCCCAAGCCCTGGTCACAAAAACCAGGGGGAGAAGTAAAAGTAGAGGCCGGAATAGCAAAGCCAGAGATAAATCACAATCTCAACCCAGGAGAAAATTCAAGTGTTATCACTGCGATGAAGAAGGGCATATCAAAAGAAACTGCAAAGCCTGGAAGAACAGAGGTTGGAGAAACAACAAGGCAGAGAACAATGAAAATACCGCAACCCCTGTGATTAACGGGGAAGTGGTGTTGCTCTCTATTGAAGAAGAAGAGTGTCCTGTTGCTGATTCATGTGTTGAATGGGTCATTGACTCAGCAGCATCATACCATGCAACCTCTCACAAGGAATTCTTTTCTCTATACAAAGAAGGAGACTTTGGTAGAGTAAAGATGGGCAACAACAGCATTGCAAATATTGTGGGAGTTGGTGACGTGTGCATTCAAACTGATATTGGGTGCACAATAACACTGAAGGACGTACGACATATACCAGACTTACGTCTGAATCTGATCTCTGTGCATGCATTGGATCTAGCAGACTATACTAACAATTTTGGTAACGGCACGTGGAGGCTTACCAAAGGATCGTTGTTAGCTGCTAGAGGTACAGTGAGATCGAAACTGTACAGAACTCAAGTGAAGCTGATCAAGGGTGGATTGAATGCAGTCGAAGATGATGCTTCGCCAAATTTGTGGCAAAAAAGACTGGCTCACATTGGTGAAAAAGGATTACAAATTTTGGCAAAAAAGTCCTCCATCCCATTTGCCAAAGATTCAAACCTGAATCCTTGTGATTATTGTCTCTTTGGGAAGCATCATAGAGTGTCTTTCAGCAAAACCTCGAAGCTGAAAGAGAATGTGTTGGAGATGGTGTATTCTGATGTATGTGGACCCGTGGAAGTGAAGAGTCTCGGTGGTAGCAGATATTTCGTGACGTTTATTGATGATGCCTCACGAAAATTGTGGGTGTATTTCTTGAGAACGAAGGGTGAAGTGTTTCAGTATTTCAAAAGGTTTTATGCTATGGTGGAGAGACAGGCTGGTAAACCTTTGAAGTGTCTTCGCTCAGATAATGGGGGGGAGTATACTTCCCATGAATTCAAGAATTATTGTGCCGAGCATGGCATCAGGCATGAGAAGACTGTACCTGGAACCCCACAACATAATTGTTTGTCCCATTTTTGTGTCTTTATTTTCGCTTTATTTTCTCTTTATTTTTCCCCACTTATAGGATTTCCGTAATTTATTTGGTCCAATTCTGTGATTTTTCCGTTTCTCTCTTTAGTTCGTTTTGTGTGTCTTTTTGTTGTGTTTTTGTTCGTGTTTTCTTCGTGTTCGTGTTTTCAGGAGGTAGGTTGTGTTGATCGAGGACGGGACTACTTGAGCTGAGACCGGGATATCCAGAAGACCCATTAATGTGTTCAGAATACTGAAGAATGGACCGGAAAAATGGACCGAAAAGCTGCCCAGAACAACTCGCGACTCGCGAGTCAGTGTCGCGACTCGCGAGATTGTCGCGACTCGCGAGGATGTCGCGACTCGCGAGTGTAACAGAGCCGAAAGACGATTCCCGCGAGACGATGCGCGACTCGCGAGTCCATGTCGCGACTCGCGAGACCGGTCGCGACTCGCGAGTCTGGTCGCGAGTTTCCCCAGAAAATAAATATATTTGAAGACGCGCGACTCGCGAGATGTCGCGACTCGCGACCTGAAGGAAAATGAGAGTCGCGACTCGCGACTTATGTCGCGACTCGCGACTTGATCGGCGTGAATTTCGAGGTCGGGATTTTATCATCAGATTTTCGACCTAGATATCATTATTCGCTTTCCAGACCTTGTTTTTAGATTATTCTCTCTAGAAAACTCATTCCTTTCATTACTTTTACGCTTTGATTCGTATTGGAGATTGAAAAAACTCCTATTTACTGCTTTGGATTTGGATGCTTGAGGATTTGAACATTGGGATTCTCTATTTTACTCGTAAGTTCTTATTTTCTTCATTTGTTGAGTTGATGATGATGGCTTGGGTTAATTTGATTGTTCTTGTTCAATTCCACATGAGTAGCTAAATCCATACGCTAGGGATAGGGGATGATTGATTAGGTTCGATAATAATTGCTAGTTCTTGATTGTTCATATCTATTCAAGTTATGCTTATTCTAGGGTTAATAGATTGATCACCTGTTTAACCTAACTAATCAACGTGTGGAACCGAGAGGGGAGACGTTGGTCGATATAGGCTTGTTTAGAGTAGACTTGTTCGTAACTGTATTGTCTATGCGTTGCGGGAACTGATAGTTAATCGTTTACATCCACTCTCTTGTTCGTAACTGTATTGAGAGTGAACCTCTGAACGAGAAGCAATTCAGGTCCTTAAACCGAGCAGTTGATTGCCGGTAGTTGTGGTAGAACCGAAGCAATTATCCCCGATTCCCTAGCTCTTTAATCATTGCGTGAATATCTCTGCTATTTTAAGTGCTTTTCATTAGCTTAGTTTCTTAGTTGATAATCAAAACCAAACCAATTTGAATATAGAGTTTAGGAATTTTTCTTCTCTTTTTCGTGATTGAATATTCGTGCAATTGAATCCGGCTAACCTTCCTTGCGATACGACCCGGTGTTGAATCTTTCGATTCTACTCCGGTAAAAATACTTACAACAATAATGGTGTGGCTGAAAGAATCAACAGAACCTTTATGGAGAAAGTGAGATGTATGTTAAGAATGGCTAAACTACCTAAGCCATTCTGGGGTGAAGCTGTTCTAACGGCGTGCTACCTGATCAACCGATCTCCATCTGTTCCTTTAGGCTTTGATATCCCCGAGAGAGTATGGTCCGGACATGATGTTAAATACTCTCATTTGAAGGTGTTTGGATGCAAAGCTTTTGCTCACGTAAGCAAGGAACAGAGACAAAAACTTGACGATAAAGCCATTCCTTGTATATTTCTGGGCTATGGAGATGAGGAATTTGGCTACAGGTTATGGGATCCAGAAAATCGAAAAATTATCAGAAGCAAAGATGTAGTGTTCCATGAGCAAGAAACTATGTCTGATTCTGCTTCACCAGAAATCAGAGAACCAAGTGGAAAGGTGGATCTTTCACCTGTCAAACCTCCTGGAGATGCCACAGCAGGGGGAGAGTGTGATGGAGAACTCAAGGTTGATGTTGAGCCAACAATAGAAGATGGCGGTGGTGAAGGTGTCGAGCAGGAAGACCTCGAAGCTCCACCTCAGCTCAGGAGATCAAATCGAGCGATCCAACCGTCTACGAGATACCCTAGTTCCACGTATATTACCATCACTGAAAAAGGAGAGCCATAAAGCTTTGAAGAAGTACAGACTCATAAGGATAAATCCCAGTGGATTAAAGTCATGCAAGAAGAAATGGATTCACTGATGAAAAATGAAACTTATGAGCTTGTGAAGCTTTCGGAAGGCAGAAAAGCCTTGAAAAATAAATGGATGTTCAAGCTTAAGAAAGATGGTGACAAGTTGTTGAAGCACAAGGCTCGCTTAGTCGTGAAAGGATTTGGACAAAAGCGAGGAATAGATTTTGATGAGATATTCTCTCCGGTTGTGAAGATGCGTTCTATTCGAGTAGTACTCGGATTGGTGGCTAGCTTGGATCTGGAGCTTGAAAAACTAGATGTGAAGACTGCATTTCTTCATAGAGACCTAGATGAAGAAATCTACATGGAGCAACCAGAAGGATTTTAGAAGACTGGAAAGGAGCACATGGTTTGCAGATTGAAGAAGAGTTTGTATGGACTGAAACAAGCTCCAAGACAGTGGTACAAGAAATTTGACTCGTTCATGGCGAGTCATTGATATACCAAGACTGATGCAGATCATTGTGTGTTCGTGAAGAAATTTCCAGGTGATAAAATCATTATCCTTTTGTTATATGTAGATGATATGTTGATAGTGGGACAAGATATGAAGTTGATTGGTGATCTGAAGAAGGAATTAGCAAAGTCCTTTCAGATGAAGGACTTGGGCCCTGCGAAACAAATTTTGGGCATGCAGATCATGCGAGACCGAAAATCCAAGAGGTTATGGTTATCGCAAGAACGGTATGTGAATTGGATTCTGGAGAGATTCAACATGAAATCAGCTAAGCCGGTCAATACACCGTTGGCCAATCACTTCAAGCTCAGCAAACGAAGTTGTCCTACGAATCAAGAAGAAAAAGAAGTTATGGCGGGTGTTCCATACTCCTCTGCAGTTGGGAGTTTGATGTATGCCATGGTCTGTACTAGACCAGATATCGCTCACGCGGTTGGAATTGTTAGCAGGTATCTTTCCAATTCTGGGAAGGATCATTGGGAAGCTGTGAAGTGGATCTTGAGGTACCTAAAAGGCAGTGCAAATAAGTCCTTGAGCTTCAGAAAAGGAAACCAAGTTCTTGAAGGTTATACAGATGCAGATATGGCAGGTGACCTGGATAGTAGAAAATCTACTTCAGGGTTTGTGTTTACATTTGCAGGAGGAGCTATATCTTGGCAATCTAAATTGCAGAAATCTGTTGCCTTGTCGACTACTGAAGCAGAGTATATTGCTTTGACAGAAGCAGGAAAAGAAATGCTTTGGTTGAAGAGGTTTCTTCAACAATTGGGAATGAAGCAAGAAAGGTACGATATCCATTGTGATAGTCAGAGCACATTGGATTTGAGTAAGAATGCGATGTATCACTCTCGCACGAAGCACATTGATTTCAGATATCATTGGCTACGTCAAGCAGTGGAAGAACAACAGTTCAAGTTGGAAAAGATTCACACTGATGAAAATCCTGCTGACATGACGACGAAAGTTGTAACAGGAGGAAAGTTTCAGCTTTGTGCCGAGTTGATCGGCATGGAATGCATGTGAGATTTGCAGTATATTACCCTTTGGCTGGAGGGGGAGAATTGTGGGGTCCAGCCACATGGCTAATCCAGCCACAAACACAAACAAACAAATAAAGAAAAAATATTAAAAAAAAAGGAATCAAATGGGAATAAAATTGGCTGGCAAGAGTTGGCACCGGAAGGGAAAAATAATAGCTATATGGTTCAGGTTTCATCTGAATTATAGTGCATTTTCTCCTATAAATAGTGGAGGTTTTCAGCAAAGGATAGACGCACCAAGGAGAAGAAGAAAAAGAGAGAGCATGAGAGTACAAAAATAGTATTTGTGTGTGTGTGTTATTTTACAGTGAGATAAAAATAGAGTGTTTGAGTAAATCCTGTGAGTGTGGGAAAAATACACCGGGTTGGGTATCAACTCTATTACTTCTTGTTTAAGAGTGAGGTTCTCACTGGGTCACTATATTTTACATTCTTAGTGTAAGGGAGTGTGAAAAGATATTGTAATTATCCTGAAAATATAGTGGAATTGTTCGGAGGTTGTCCCGTGGTTTTTTTCCTCTATTTGAAGGTTTTTCCACGTTAAATCTTGGTGTCTTATTTCTTGCATATTTTATTTAATTGGGATATTCTTAGTATGCTTTTGGTTGCAGTTTAATCTAATCTTCCACATCAGAAAAGAATTAATCCTGTTTTATTGCAAGAGATTTTCTTTTGTCATTCTTGAGTTGTTAAGATTGGGATTATTGTTCACCATTTTACCTTGATATTTTAATTTACATCTTCCGCATTGCGCATCTGAGCCCAACATTTTATGTCCTCTAGTTTCGGGCAGCAGCCGTTCGGGAGCTATGTTCGTGAAGAGCAGCGGGCAGCCGTACGTGAGAGTGCCAAGAGAGATGGCCAAAGCTGGGTTTATCGAGCTTTGTCGAGAGCTTTATTCGCGAGTGTAGCTGAGTCCCGTCCAAGGATTCTTATTCGATCTCGAACGAGCATGTATTTCGCGAAGGAAGGCAACCGGCCAAACCTTCTTCATCATTTTATGTTTGTGTTAAGTATCGTTGATTTATCTCGTCGGTTGAATCGATATATGTTGATTGCGGTTGGAATAATTTGATTCTTCTAGTTTGTTGCTTTTTGTGAAATTGACGAGGAATTGGAACTCTCCCTCTTGTTGTATTGTATTGAGTCCTCTCTAGGTCGTGTTTATTGTTGAGGTTTTACTGAGTATATAGAGCCTCGTTTTGTGATCTGAGCCCTAATCTCGTTTTGATTGAAGTTCGTTTAAGAGTTGGGCTTTGAATACCCCTTTTTAAAAACATTTCATTGTTCGTTGTTCTTTGTTGTTTTTGACCTTTGAAACTCGATCAAACGTTTTTGAACTATTCACATGATTTGTAGTTTAGTCTCTTATGTTTCCTCTAGAATACGAGTCAAGTGAATATCAATTTTCTGCTGAAAGTTAGTGCCAAAATTCGATGGCTGCGCCCAGTTTTTTTGAATTTTTTATATTTCATGTAATCTATTTTCATTGCAGTTTTTGGATACAGTAACTTTGTCGTCTCTTTTTGGAGTCTTCACATAAATTTTTGTTCAATGTGCTATATTTCAAGTGGAAAAATAATCGAGTGATATCATTTTTATATTGAAAATTATGTCAAAAATTCGATCATTGCGCTGTCAGTTTTTTGTTTTAATCGCAGAAATTTGAGTCTGTCATTTTTGTTGTTTTTGGCCTATTTCAGGTGACTTGGGAATCTTAATGTCTTCATATGATTTGTAGTTTTATCTATTAGATTTCAAATGGTGCAAGATTCATTCAAATTTCATTTTTGTACAAAAAGATACATTCGAAATACGAACGTCGTGCAACCAGTTTTTCAATAAAAAATGACAGCAGGTTTGTTGTGTAAATTTGAGCTGTTATCAACCCTTTAACTTGCTCGAATGTGCTTGATGCCTACATGAAAGTTTTATTTGTATGTCTCTAGATTGTTTTGGAGAAAGAATCATTTGAATTCGAGTTCTCTACCAAAAGTTATTTTCAAAATAAAACCGTTGCGCGTAGGAAAACTATCCGTTTTTCATCAACTCAATTTTTATGTTACCACTCGTCCGTTTTTTTACCGTTTGACTTATTTTTTAGCCGAACCATAATTTTAATCTCGTGACCATTGTTTCGAGTATTGTTTTGATCCTCTGAGAGTTCCAGGTTTCACAAAAATTTCACGAACTACTTAGTCGATAATGTTCGACTAAGTGAGAATTCTCGTGATTATTTTTAAGGGTCGAGATAATGTATTTATGAAATTATCTTGATTTAATGTAGGTGTTTGAGGAGTTTATACCTCGACCTACGACCAAAAGATTGTGTATTATCGTAGATGGGTTTATTTATGAAATATCTATGTCGTGAATAATTGATGTTATATGTATGGTATGATCAATATATGCATGTGAACCATGTAGCCTTCAATGTGAACTGTACCGGCCGTCGAACGATTATCCCCGTAGCTATAGAACGAACCCAATTAGGGTAATCTCCTCTTTTCGTCCTGAGCGAAGGACGCATCGCCTGTAAGACCAGGGCAGTGCTCGTCCGGCGGTAAGTACCTCGTTGTAAGCCCAAGGCAAGACCTTGGCCGTCGAGAGATACTCCTACTGATTGGGCATCGTTATAAAGCATGAGCGAAGACATCCGATTTGTGGACCAACAGTAGTCTATGATTAGGTGTGCACATGAGGCTGGACTTTGGATAGGAGATGGGATAAGTGATTGATTCGTGTAATGATGCGACTATACATGTCTTATTATATTTGTTATTTTAAGCATAGTGGTAAGCAAGTGGATTTTTGTGCTCACCCCCATGTCCCCTCCAGATGCAGGTTAAGCAGGTTGCGGGCGAGGGGAGGCGAGGCGAGTGGTAGTCGATCTTGATGACTTGACAGTTATTTGTGTTACTTCCGCATTATTTGAACCTTGGTTATTTACGTTGATCTTGAATCATTGTTGGGGAGATGCCCCGTTTGACATTGCTATGTCTTTTAACTTGGGATTGAAAACCCGATTATGGATGTTTATGACTTTAGATGAAACTTTTGATAAGGTGTTGGATTATGTTTTGATGTCATTGCTATGACTGTGCATTGTGATATATGTGATGATGCTTATTATGATTTTAGAAATAAATGAGTAATGCCACAAATAATTGAAATGAGTATAGAAAAAAATTAAAATGATTTTTCTGAAAAGCCATGGATTTACGTTAAATCAAAGCGGGGCGTTACAGATTCAGTGTTTTGGAAAAAAAACTGCTACTTTCCACAACTCTTACTAATTAATGATTACATAACTTTTCTGTGCAAATAGATATAACTAACTCTAGTATTTTGCTAATAATTATATGAGGAGTGTAATTATGTAATGAAAACTGAAGTGTAAAGGTATTTTTTTCTCACCTTTTTTTTTTATATATACCAGGTCATACTCCTCTGCCGAAAACCCTCGCCCCTAAATCTTCCCCGTTTCGCTTCCTCCGATTTACAGCCGTCGGCCTTCCATAGTTGCCATCGAGCTTCGCCGGCGGTCGCCGACCCTTGACCGTTTGGTTTCTGCCCCTCATTTTCCGCTCTGTTATTCGTGTTCCATGGAGCTGGGCCTCATCTGTTGCGAAAGGTCTTCGTCTTTTTCGGCGCCGACTCGTCAATCAGGGTGGTGGCTTCTTTGTTGGGTGGTGGTGGAGCCGTGGTGCAGTTCTGGGGGCGGGACGCAACTCAATTGCTCAGCAACCTTATTGGTTGGGCGATTGGGGCATTGCTGATGTTCGAGGTCGTCTCCCCCTGTTCTCGGCTTTTGAGTCGCAGGGGTTGTCGCGTCCATTCTTCTGCCAGTGGTGTTGGTCGGAGTGGTGATGCGGCGGTGCAGTGTCTTTGGGCAGCTTCCAAGCGATTTGGGGTTGGGGCTAGGGTTGTGGCACTTTTTTGTCCGTTCGGAGCAATCTGGTGTTGTGGCCGTGGTGCGGGGTGGCTTGGTGTTGTTCCGTGGTTAGGGTTTCGACACCGTTAGGCAACCGAGTGGTTTGGGCAGTTTCGGGGTCGATTCTTCTGGCTGCGGGATTCACAGTCGCCTTATTTCCGCTGGTTCGGTTAGGTGTCGCTACTTTGGAAGGGCTCATTTAGTTTTGTTGCTTTTGTTTTGTTTTGTTTGGTAGCTTCGTGTTTTTGTTTGTTATTTAGGTTGTGTGGTCGTTGTGTTTTTTGTCTGGGCCATTTGGCCTCTGTGTGCCTGAGTGTCAAACTTATTATTTTGTTGGGATCCGACACTCAGGTATTCTCCTGTTGGGAGCTTGTTTAGTTTTTAGTTTTTAGTTCTTATTGGTGTAGTTGTGCGTTTTGTTATTGTAGCGTTCCTAGGTCAGGACTTAGGCGATCTTTGGATCTGCCTCCCAGTTTTATCAGTCTTCGATTGTACTATTCAGTCTTTGGTTGTTTCTCTTCGCACATTGTGCGATTTTTATTAATAGAGTACTTCTATCGTTTCGAGAAAAAAAAAAAAATACTCCCTCCTTTTTTAAATAAATGTCGTTTTGACTTTTTTGATTCATTCATTTTGCTATGTATGTAGACATCAATATGTCTACATACATAGCAAAATGAATGAATCAAAAAAGTTAAAACGACATTTATTTAAAAAAGGAGGTAGTATAAGGTATTTTCTCAAGAAAAGCTTCCGGGCTCCAGGCCCGTATATATTATTTTGGTGGCTGACCCAAGAATATTATGCTCCAGCCCAAATCAAGCCCAGAAGCAAAATGTTCGTCTCTCCTTCGTCAGCTTCAACCAATTACTATAATTCGGAAAATTTGCCTGAGAAAATCAAGAAAGCTCCGATGGGTGATATCCGTGGAAGAACCTCCTCCGTCGACGATGATCTGCTGCTCAAGAAATTCTTTGCCGAAGTTAGCGAGGTTGAGCGCGACAACGAAGTCAACAGGTTTGTTTATTTTGACGCATGATGTGCATATAGGTTTATGGTTGAATAAACAACTCCTTTTGAGTGAAACGGGAATTTTATTTTGTAGAATTTTTTCGATAGGTGAAATATTGTGGATACTCTTATTCGGGGATTGCATTTGAGGAGATGAATGAGGGAGATGACATGGGAGTTATGTAAAATTTGATTTAAGATTTTAGCTTAGCCCGGTAGGCTGTGCAGTCTTTTCGTGCTCCTCCTTTTTTTTTTTT